GAGAATTGCCTGAACCCGGGAGGCGGAGGTTGCGGTTAGCCGAGATCGCGCCATTGCACTCCAGCCTGGGTAACAAGAGCGAAACTCCGTCTCAAAAAAAAAGAAAAAAAAAAAAAAAGACTACAAACTGAGTTCAGTGTATCCTCTGCTTGGGCAATGAGTGCACCAAAATCTCACAGATCACCACCGAAGAACTTACTCATGTAACCGAACACCACCTGTTCCCCAAAAATCTAAGGAAATAGAAAATTTAAAAACAAGAAAGCAAGTTAGGTTCGGGGAGGTGAAGTGACTTTTCCAAGTTGGCCTGTCTAGGAAACGGAAGAGTGGCGGGTGGTTGGACAAACTGGCACCCACCGGACAGGCAGGACCTGGCCTCACCCTGGGGCCTGTCCCTGCTCATCAGCACCTGGAGCCACGTGACAGAGGGACGCAGGGACAGCCAAGACATTTACAAAGTGAAGATCCTTTGTGCCTGAGTGAAGTGATCCTTTCAAAAATAATCGCCAGCTCCCCTTCACCACCTCCGGAGACCAAGTCCTTGCTGATTTTTCCCCGTCTTTATCTCAAGTACATTTAAATGTCAATTAAATTTGAAATATCTACATTTGTCAGCATTTCATTTTGGGCCAGCGTGACGTGCTGCTGATTTGTCCACGCGATGTGACACATGAAAAAAACTCCCGAGATGCAGATCTTCCTCATTAAAAAATAAGCCGGTGCGATCCCGGCACGGCAGAGAGCATGGAGCACGTCCCTGCTTCCTGACGCCGTGTCTCTGACATGGTATTTAAAAAGGAACAGCCTCGCCTGTCACCACTGTCACATGCGCGCGCTAACCGGCGACACGTTAAACCAAACATTAGAAGGGGTTCGGGAAGTCATCTGCATGGGAACTCCATGCCAAGACGAGGTGGGCAGAGGCGGGAGCAGCCATGGGGGATGATGGGGTCTGATCTGTGACGGATGGCCAGCCTTTCTTCTGTACCAAGACTCCGGCAGCCCTCGCCGGGCAGCCAAGTTTACGGCAACCTGCCTTTTCACAGACAGCTCTTTGTGTGTGATAAAATCCAGGCAAGTGGTGGGTGGCAGACTGCAGGGGAGTAGCTGAATTGGGTTAATGAAGGAAAAGGCACTTTTTTTTCATATTCTCCCTTAAGCTAATAAAAAATTTAAGCCTGGACGTTTTCGAAGGTTCATCCTTTATCTCTGACAAATAATCTGACTGTATGTTTCATGGGAGAACATGGGCAGCTGAATTTTAAAAAGCTTATTTTAAAACCTCACCTTTCATTAAAAGTAAAAAGGGAAACACCTTACCTCTTATTTCATTGTTTCCGACCCAGGAAACTGAAGAGACAAGATCCCATAGTGGTTGAAAGTCAACAAATCCAGACTGATTTCTCAGCTGTACCATTAGCTGCTGTGTGACCCCGGGCAAGTGACTCCCCCTCTCTGAGCCTTAGCTACTTTGTCTGCAAAATGGGGTTACAATAAAGAATTCATGAGAAATGTATGGACAGCATTTTGCCCAAGGTTTATAAGTACTGCTAGTGTTATCATCCCATGTGGCCTGGGCTTGACAAAGCTCCGATCTGACCACATCAGACGGCAAACTTCTCACCTGGGTGCGCCCCGCCCCTTTCAAGAGACAGGTGGTATATTCTGGAGGCAGCTGGGCCTCCTGTGGAAACCACTGCCCAACCAGCCTGGCCTGGCCAGTACATCCAAGTAGAGATGGAAAGTGGCTTGTGAGCTGGAAACTGTGGTTCCCTCTCTTCCCCGACCTGCCACAGTCTCGCCAGGGTGGGAACCCCCAGCCCCCTCCACCATCACAGCAGTGTGGGAGGCACTGGATGCTGACAGTGGCCAGACTGCAGCAGCCTGATTGAATGAAGCCAAGGTGCAGCCCAGCACAGAGGCTCTGCGCTCCTAGGTGTGAAGCCAGAAATTCCTGGCAGGTTGAGTGGCGTTTCACCAACGTGCCAAGCTGTGATCTGTGCTTTCTCGTTAGACCCAGTGGTGGGGGCCTGTGCGTGGATAGGCATCAGAAAGGCATTCAAGGTGGACATGACAGCCACTCGAGAGCCTCCCTCAGTTTGGCCCAGGCAGGGGCTGGTGTCCCCTCTTGTGTGTCTCCACCAAGCCCCCACTCACAGGAGAGCGAGGGCCCTGGGGGTGGCCAGTCCAGGCTGCAATCCCCGCTCACCACTTCTTCACCGGTGAAGCCCCAGTACACAGCTAGCCTGGGTCTGCTCACAACAGCCGGACTCTGAGTGCCTCATGGTTGGGTGCACAGATGGACAGATGGATGGGTGGACTCATGAAGGCCTGGTCCTCTAGAAAATCGGTATGGCGACATCTCATTAGGCTCTTGTGAGGGGTAGAAATGGCCTCTATAAAGCATAGTGCCTGCTTGTTGATTATCGTCTTAAACAGTTCCTGCCTCCCCCTACCCACCCGACACGCTCACCCTCAAACATCGTCCCATTCTTCACCTCTTAGCATCTCAGAACAGATGGGAGCTCAGAGAGAGAACACTTCTATGCAGCAGCCACAGTCTGGGGAAAGGGGACAGTGTGGTATAGTCCAGGAAGATGGTAAAGTGGGGGTCCCCCAGCAGGCTGGCTTTCATTCATTTGCAAACCTCCCTGACATTCATGCCCCAGCCCAGGTGGGGAGAAACAGAACAAGAAGCCAGGCCTTTCCTTGATGAACTCGACTCAGAAACAGAATGGCAAGAGGCTAACGGTGTCTGTGAAGGCCTAAGACGCACAGCCAGAGAGCTCTGCTAGAACTTTAGTGAGCTTCCTCGAAGACCCATCGAACTGAGTCTTCACCGCTGAAGAGCAATCAGTGCTCCAAGCAAAGGTGACAGGGAGGGTGGAATATTCAGGGCCTGGTGTGCACAGAGATGTTATGCACGGCCCAAGTGCAGGGGAGGCCGACATACAGCGTGGAGACTGCCCTGCTCGGAGCTCAGGCTTGGCACGGCTGCTCAGCAACGCATCCCACCAGCTCCCCAGAGTGCCGCGGACGCCCACGGCCTGCCCACCCTCAGCCTCTCACCTGCTCAGGAGAACAGTCAGTGCTACAGAGTGAGAGTGGGCGCCCCCTAACTTTGAAACGAGTCCCCGCAAATGCCTGCGCATTATCGTTCCTAACCCTTTGCTCCGCAGATTGATTTACTCACCATACCACCAACTGCAGCAAGATCACCGTTCAGAATGACACATTCGTAGGTTTTAGCAGGACAGTGACAACTGTGGGTTTGTGATTCAGAGAGACTCTGGTGGCCATGTGAAGGGTGGCCTTTCTGCTCTGCCTTATTCACTGTGGAGGTGGCAGGAGCCAGGCGCCCTGGCCCCGAGATGCCTGCAAGTCAGGTCTTCCTGGCCTCTCCATTGAGTTGGGAAAATGCCCCCTGGACCAGAGCCCTCTCTAGTCCCGGAAGAGTGGAGTTGTGTTTTGCCCCTGACAGCCAGCAGGGCAGCCTGGGAGCAGAGAAGAGCCCAGCGCTGTGACACGCCTCTTCCCGTGTGTAAGCCTGAGCTAGTGGCTTCCCCTCCAGAGCCTCGACCTCCACTGCAGTTCCAGGACAAAAGTCTTTGCCAGGCCAGCCTCTGGGGTCAGTGGGAGGAAGTAGGGGTTCTGATGTGAAATTGCTGGGACGGCACCAGCCCTGCAGATTGCAGCAAAGCCCAGGCACAGGCCACTCGCCCCGTCCCCCGCACAGCCACCGTCTCTCATTCACTCTCCAGCTGTGGCTTTCCTGAAATAAAACCTCAAAAGAATTCCAGCACGGAAAGCAGAGAAGGGAGACAGCTTTGGCTGGGGGTGAGGGGAGAGGAGATAGCCATGCCAGCCCCCCCATCCCGCATTCTCCCCAAACTTCACTTGCCTCAGAGCAAGCCAGCCCGTAGAATGGGGCAGGGGCATGGAACACCCCTGGGTCTGCTCATACCCAGCAGGTTCAAAGCGCCTCTTGGTGGGGTGCACAGAGACACCTGTTCCCCAGCACACAGGCCAGGATTTGAACCCTGGTCTGCCTGGTCCAGCTTGCCTCTGCTGAGCACACAGCCTCTGGCAGGCCCTGGTCAGCATATAATTCATAGGAGCCAGGCGTGGAGTTTCTCCAGGCTGTGTATGTGTTTGTGTTTATAGAGGTAGGGCTCACAGGTGGTTGACAAGGGAGATGCATTTTTTATAATAATGAATATTTAATTTCCATATCACAGATGAAAAAGACTCTCTGAAGAGGCATCTGAGGGAAGCTCCAGAGAGTAGCCGCTAATCAGAAAAGGGCCTTCTCACCAGTGTGCTTCCACGTGGCTCACTTTTTTCTTGAACTTTTTTATTTTTTATTTCTTCCTGATTATTGGAGTAGATATGCTCATTGTAGAAACCGTATAAGACACAGAAAAATAAAAAGAGGCAGGAGGGAAAGAAATCACCCATGATTCCACTGGCTGTTACTGACATTTAGCCATGTACCTTTCCAGTCTTTTTTCTATGAGTTTTTCCATAAGCCAATGACACCGAATGCGGCATGATTGCAGTTCCGCCTCATCTTTACCTTTGTCTTCATGAACATTACTTTTCATGGGAGGACAAGAAGCAGCCCCTGTGCCAGATGGTGGTTGCTGAAAATGTCGGTTGTTCCATGTTTCAATATTATAAACAGCAGTGTTGAACGTCTTCAGCTGTGACTCCTTGCTAACTTTGAGGGTTAACCAAATGGAAGTGGAATTACTAGGTCCCATGTGATGGATCATGAGTTTAAGGCTCTGGACATGTAGCAAATTTAGTTTCTTTTCTGTCTAAAACCAGCTTCCTCTGCTGGGAGCCCATCAGCTCTCACCTGGGAGCCCCCACCCCAGGCTGGCAGAGGGAGGCAGGGCCTGGCGTGGAGCCCTGAGCCCTGCTTCCCACCTGCACATGAAGTTCTGAGGGCGCCCCTAACTGCCTGTTCTCTTCTCTTTTGTCTTCCTCTGCCCCAGCCTGGTAAAGCCCTTGCGACACTATGCGGTCTTCCTCTCCGAAGACTCCTCTGACGATGAATGCCGGCGGGAAGAGGGCCCGAGCTCTGGCTTCACCGAGAGCTTTTTCTTCTCTGCTCCCTTTGAATGGTCTCTCCTTCCTTCTTCCATTTCCCTGACCTCGGCTTGGTGACTCTGTGGGCCTGCATGGGGAAAGCGGGGGGCTGGTGCTGCTTGCCTTTGTGTTGGGTGGGGGTGCCTGGAGCTGCTGCCTGCCGATGCCAACATGCAGGGTGGAAGCCACCTCCACTTCTCATGGTGTCCGTTCTGCCAGCCCTATAGGGGCTGTGACAATAGAGTGAGGTGACAGGGTGATACCGGAGCACTGGTCCCCTTTCCTTAGGGGGAAAATGTGTTTGACTGCTGCTGGAATTGGTGGCTACAATTAGCCTGGTGGTTGATGTCCAAGTCCTTCTCTAGCTCAGCATGTCTTGCAAAGCCATGGAGACGGGAGTCAGAGTCTAAGTTAAAAAAGAAAACGTTCCTCATGTGAAATGTGTATATTAATGCCAGCATATCCAAGTGCTCTGATGTGCCTGACTTTTTAGATAATTTTAATCATTATTATTTATAGCCTAAGCTTCACACCAATTACAAGTAGCGATTTTAAAAGCTTCACCCACCATCCAGGCACCCCGAAAATTAAGCTGCTGTTGCCCTGCCTTCTTTATCCGCTCTTGCCTCTCCACCCACAAGTGTTTCAGAGCTGGGATTGAGCAGGTAGACAGCTTTTGTCTGTCTTCCTTGTTAACACGGTTGTGTGTTTTCAATGGGAGCCTTTAAGGGAAGGGAAACTGCCCTTTGCTGGATGCCCGCAGTGTCCACAGCAACCTTCCGGGGAGCACGTTAATCGTTGTGGTCACTACACAGGAGACGCCTTTCTGAGCCTCCCCCTTGTGTCCCCTGCACCCTCTCCATTCCTAAACCCCAGCATCAGGTCCCTCCCCTTGGTGTGACTCGTGGGTTCCTCTGGGGACCTTATAATCCCCAGACTGCTCGGCCTCCTGTCATCAACCCCACAGGGTCAGAAGGTCCTGAGCCTTTCCTGTCACCAGGTCACTGGGGACCCAGGCAAATCACTCCCCTCCCAGTGTCCTCACTTGGAAAGTAGCGGCCTTGCCGGGCGCAGTGGCTCACATCTGTAATCCCAGCACTTGGGAGGCCGGGGGCAGGCGGATCCCTTGAGGCTAGGAGTTTGAGACCAGCTTGGCCAACATGGCAAAACCCCATCTCTAAAAGAAAATACAAAAATTAGCTGGGTGTGGTGGCATCCACTGTAATTCCAGCTACTCAGGAGGTTGAGGCATGAGAATCATTTAAACCCGGGAAGCGAAGGTTGCAGTGAGCTGAGATTGTGCTGCAGGGCTCCAGCCTGGGAGACAGAGCAAGATTCTGCCTTAAAAAAGAAGAAGAAGAAGAAAGTAGTGGCCTAAGCTGGTGTCATCCAACATCCAAGCATCGCTCATAACTTTTTTTTTTTTTTTGAGACAGTCTCGCTCTGTCGCCAGGCACCAGGCTGGGGTGCAGTGGCATGATCTTGGCACACTGCAACCTCCATCTCCCGGGTTCAAGCAATTCTCCTGCCTCAGCCTCCCGAGTAGCTGGGACTACAGGCACACGCCACCATGCCCAGCTAATTTTTGTAATTTTAGTAGAGACAGGGTTTCACCATGTTGGCCAGGATGGTCTCAATCTCTTGACCTCGTGATCTGCCCGCCTCCTTTTGATGTATATCAAATCTGTTTCTATTTTTTTAAATGTTTTAAAAATTCTTCTTCTCCTAAGCAATAATATCTATGACATCATAGTCTTAATGTATTAGTTATTTCTGTTGCTAATTAGAACAAAAATAGGACCATTGGCATAAGAAATGTCTACCCATGTGTCAACATAAAACACCTTTTGGGAAAAGGTACCCTGCTCCCAGCCAGGAGCCCACCAGGTCAAATCCAAGGCCCAGCTCCATCATATTCTCTTTGAACTAACTGATGACTTAATTATTTAAATAATGGTGAGAGCTTACTTCCTTAGCCCGTGACCTCAGAGGTCTGGACAGGCCTCTGTGCGTGTGTGTATTTGAAAAGAAACTGGCCCATCCTAACTCAAAATGGGTTAAAAAGAACACTGTTTCCTTAAGTTCAAGAAGCACACTGACTTTAACCGTTTCGGTTGTGCTCATCTTGATGAAAGCGTCTCTAATTCCTTGGTCGGGGTGAGCGAGGGACGTCTGAAGTCTCTCAAACTTGGCTTTCATTTCCACCTCTTGTGGGTGCTGTGTGAATAGGTGAGCTATGTAATGCTCTGAGCTTCCATTCCTCATCCATAAAGTAGGGTGCAATTCCCACTTTCTGGACTGCTTGCATTGCTTCAGCGAGACGGTACTCTGATGGAGTCCCTGCCCATCACTGGGACTGTTCGATGAGTCTCCCCTATGCCCCCTCCCTGGTTCCTTCAGTGAGCCTTCAGTGTGAGCCTACTCTTGACCGCCAGGTGGTGCCCTTCCCCCACTTTACCAGTGCCATGGGTGCCTTCTCCGCCTGGCCTGGAGCCACCACCAGCCCCAGCCTTGGGGTTAGAAGAGGCAAGATGCAGCTCCCACTGGGGCTCCACTACAGGTCAGAGTTGACCCAGGCGCTGCCTCTCCATGTACCCAGTGGTAACCTGGGACTCAGGTCCATGGGACCAGAAGGCAAGTGGAAGGCTTTGTGACCTGTACTTGGATCAGCTGCAACGTAGTGGTGTGCTTTTTTGTTCGTTTTGTTTTGTTTTTGTTTTCAAATAGGGTCTTGCTCTGTCACCCAGGCTGGAGTGCAGTGATGCGATCGTGACTCACTGCACCCTCTACCTCCCAAGTTCAAGTGATTCTCCTGCCTCAGCCCCCCGAGTAGCTGGGACTACAGGCATGCACCACCACACCTCATTAATTTTTGTATTTTTAGTAGAGACAGGGTTTCACCACATTGGCCAGGCTGGTCTTGAACTCCTGGCCTCAAGTGATCCACCTGCCTCTGCCTCCCAAAGCACTGGGATTACAGGCATAAGCCACGGCGCTGGGCCAATGGCCGAAAGGTTTTGATGTGTAAAAGTACAGAAAGCTGCTAGCACAGAGCCTGTGTGACAGCCAGGCTCACTGGAGAGTGATCGATGCTGTCACCAGCCTCTGCGTGCCTGCTGTGTGCCGGGCACTTTATTTACGCATGTAACCACCACCAACCCCTGAGTGCCTGAGGCTCAGAGAGTTAAGTGACCTGCCATAGGTCCCACAGCAAGAAATGGCATGACCAGCGCTGGAACTAAGGTTATCAGGACAATCTCAGGCCCAGACAAGTTCCCCCTGGGATACTGTGGGTAGCTACCCCCCGGGAAGTTTCCCCATCTCTGTTCCCCATGAGCTGTTCACAGAGCCCAACTGGGGCTATGGATAGGTGACCACACAGGGGAGTGGCATGGGAACAAGAAGAGCACGTCCACCAGCCTGGGAGACCCCTCCGGCCTGCCTGTTTCTCCCACCTTGTCTGAATGTCTCACAAGTTCACCAGCCAGTTTTGTGAAAAGTAGTTTGGGGGCACTAAATGAGTCCCCTCAGTGCAAACGAGAGCCAAAGCGATGCCCCTGTTCCCAACCCCAGGCCCACTGGCATGCCCAGCCTGCACCCTTGCACCCTCCCAGACTCCTGCCCTCACGGAGACCCTGGGACACTCTCCTGTCCCGAAGGCTCCCGCGTGTACCCCTCAAGGCCTCGATGTGCTTGGGCTGGAGGCTGCCTGCTCCTCCCCAAAGGCCTGGGTGGGAGGGGCCAGCCTGCTCTCTCTCCCCGCAGGCCGCAGCCGTATAGGACACTCAAGGAGTCAGACAGTGCGGAAGGCGACGAGGCAGAGAGTCCAGAGCAGCGTATGCGGAAGCCCGTGGGCCCTGTCCCAGCTCCCCCTGACCGAGCTGCCAGCATTGACCTTCTGGAAGACGTCTTCAGCAACCTGGACATGGAGGCCCCACTGCAGCCACTGGGCCAGGCCAAGAGCCTGGAGGACCTTCGTGCCCCCAAAGACCTGAGGGAGCAGCCAGGGACCTTTGACTATCAGGTAGGGCATGGGCAAGAGAGGGGGATGGCACTGTCTACACTCGAGGTGGGACCCCCATGTAACAGTGGAAAAGACTAACAGAGAAACAGTGACTTTCCAAGGCCCTCGGCCAACGCTCAGGGTCAGTCTGACTGCAAAGCCCTCCCCGGGTGCCGGGGCCCACACCACCCTAACAGTGATGGTAGGAGAAGATGCTGGAGCCAAATGGAAACCTGCCCCACTCTGTGCATCAGACAGGGGGCGGGTGCTGCCAGCCATCCTCCTCACACCCCTGCTGGATCTGGGATTTTGTCCATCCCCGCCACGGCTCCTTGGCAGAGCCTTTGGATCAAAGTTCTTGGTTCTGCATTATGAATGCAAATCAATGTGCCATTTCCAGCGTGACTTCCAATCCATCACATCCCCTCTCCATGCCTCAGGTTCCTCACTTGCAAGTGGGGGCTCTCGACTTTGCATCACTGGGTCACACTGTGGGGTTCACAGAGCTCAGTCACTCATGAGTGTTCCCTGCTGGGAACGAGGACCTTGGGCCAAGAGAAGGGGAGTGGCGCCCAGGCTGTGCAGCTTGAAAGTGGCAGAGCCAGGACTCAAACTCGGCCTCCTCCTTTCTCCCCAGCCGGGGTGCCTTCCACCAGGCCCTGAGTCTCACTTGCCCTCCCAAGCTTACCGGTGGTCGCAGGTGCCTGTGATCTGAAAAGTAAAAAGAGCCAGCCAGTAGCTGGAGGCCCTTTCCTAAAACCCCTTGGCAACCACCACTGGCGTAAAGGGATGAGAGCTTCCTCTTGAGTTCCTTTGTGCCACACAGTGACAGGAGCCTGGGCTTGGAGTCCCAGCACACCTGGTTCCCCTGCTGGTGACCTGGGGGAGTCCCCCCAGCTGCTCCAAGTCCGAGGAGCTAATGGGCCACACATCTTGGCCCAGCACACAGGAAGGGTGTAGGAATGGGCACACAAATGTCCCAACTCAGCCTGTGGTCACTGCCGACCTCCTTCCCTCCCAACAGAGGCTGGACCTGGGCGGGAGCGAGAGGAGCCGCGGGATGGCGGTGGCCTTGAAGCTTGCCCACCCATACAACAAGCTCTGGAGCCTGGGCCAGGACGACATGGCCATCCCCAGCAAGCCCCCAGCTGCCTCGCCTGAGAAGCCCTTGGCCCTACTCGGGAACTCCCTGGCCCTGCCTCGAAGGCCCCAGAACCAGGACAGCATCCTGAACCCCAGTGACAAGGAGGAGGTGCCCACCCCTACTCTGGGGAGCATCACTATCCCCCGGCCCCAAGGCAGGAAGACCCCAGAGCTGGGCATTGTGCCTCCACCACCTGTTGCCCGCCCGGCCAAGCTCCAGGCTGCCGGCACCGAACTTGGTGACTTCTCAGAACAGCCGCAGACGGATCAGGGAAGGCGAGCTGCCCTGAGCCCTGCCCTGTTCCCAGGGCTCCTCCCTCGTGTTGCCCCCCAAGGCCCCACCGAACTGCTCCAGCCGCTCAGCCCCGGCCCCGGAGCTTCGGGCACTAGCAGTGACGCGCTGCTCGCCCTCCTGGACCCGCTGAGCACAGCCTGGTCAGGCAGCACCCTCCCGCCACGCCATACTGCCCCAAATGCAGCCACCCCATTCACCCCCCAATTCACCTTCCCCTCTGCGGGGACACCCACTCCATTCCCACAGCCACCACTCAACCCCTTTGTCCCATCCATGCCAGCGGCCCCACCCACCCTGCCCCTGGTCTCCACACCAGCCGGGCCTTTCGGGGCCCCTCCGGCTTCCCTGGGGTCGGCTTTTGCATCTGGCCTCCTGCTGTCCAGCGCTGGCTTCTGTGCCCCTCACAGGTCTCAGCCCAACCTCTCCGCCCTCTCCATGCCCAACCTCTTTGGCCAGATGCCCATGGGCACGCACACCAGCCCCCTACAGCCACTGGGCCCTCCAGGAGTCCCCCCCTCAAGGATTCGAACGTTGCCCCTGGCCCGCTCAAGTGCCAGGGCTGCTGAGGCCAAGCAGGGGCTGGCCCTGAGGCCTGGAGACCCCCCGCTTCTGCCTCCCAGGCCTCCCCAAGGTCTGGAGCCAGCACTGCGGCCCTCTGCTCCTCAGCAGGCCAGAGACCCCTTTGAGGATCTGTTACTGAAAACCAAGCAAGACGTGAGCCCGAGTCCAGCCCCGGCCCCAGCCCCAGGCTCAGTGGAGCAGCTCAGGAAGCAGTGGGAGACCTTCGAGTGAGCCAGGCCCTGAGGTGGGGATGTGCCGAGGCCTGAGCGTCCGTCCACAGCTGCACTTCTGAGGCTTCCCCACCACTCTCTGCCCAGGTTCTGCTGATGGGAAGGGATGGGACCCCTCTCTGCTGCCCCCTCCTCCCCTCCACACTGCTCATCTCTGAGGTCTGGCCCTGGGGAATGGCACCAGCTCCAGCCTGGGAATCAACCCACTTCCTGGATGCCCATCCACCCCATGGTTGCCCCTCCTTGGCACCCTTGATTGGGTTTTGCACTAAAGAGGTCAGCTGGGCCAGTCATTGCCCCAGACTGAGTCCTACCCACCTTCCCTCTGGAAGTGTCCCGAGAGGCTCCAAAGGCCAGCTCTCCTGTCCCCACCACAGCCAGGCCCTGCACGCCCACCTCCTTGGACACAGGTGGCAGTGTTACGCTCCAGTGTGAGCTCATCTGCACAAGATACAGGCGACTGCGGGGTTGGAGGTAGGACTCCCCCTGCTCTGGAGGGTTAACCTGGTGGGGCACTTCCAGATTGTTCTAGCAATACACACACTTGTGCTTTCCTGTGTCTTCACCCCAAAACTTGTTGATTCTGACCTGGTAGGATCTGGGGACCAGGAAGTCTTGGGCTGCCTTGTGATGGCCAAACCCAGCCCCAGCCACCCTGCATGGTGGCTGCGAGCACCAGCAATTTGGATTTGTAGAAGGAAACTAAGAACCCTAGTGTTTAAGGAGCCCCCAGCCCTTGTCCTGCTCTCTGGCACTCTGATACCTCCAGGTTCTCCTGGTCTCTCCTATCACTGTCAAAGCTGGGGGCTCAGCCTCTTGTCATCTGGGGCTTTGTGGACAAAGCTGGGTAGCTGCGACCCAGATTTCAACTCGAAGGTCAAGCTTAATGCCTCAGACTTGAGGTGGAAGGCACAGCTCCTTGGCCTTCCTAGGTTGGAACTGGGCCAGTGGCCATAAGCCCCTTCACCAGGGAGAAAGGACACACTTGGCCTCTGCCTCCTGGAAGCAGGAGGAGGGCTGGAAGCCAGTCCCTCCGCACCTGACCAGAGCTCTAGGCCAGCACAGAAAGTCCTGAGGCTAACATCACCAAAGTTAGATTGAATGTTTTATTATTTTTCCTTTTTACCTTATTGATTTGAGGAATCGTGAAATTGATTCATTTCCATAAACCAAGTTAAAGTACAGCCCGACCATGTAAGAAAACAACCATCTGAGACATGCAGGAAATTGTGAGCATTTCCACCCGAGCTCTCATTTCCTATTTTTGAAGGGTCAGACACAGTCTCCCCAAGGGTGTCTGAGGGGTCTCTGGAGGTCTCTGTCACCCAGGGACCCCCTCTGTGAGAAGCCGCCACTGTTGCACATGGTCGGTGAGGCTTGGCGGCCATCCTGGGTCACCCAAGACCTATCTGGCGCAGGGGTGGGCTCTGGCTGCTGGGGAAGCCATGTCACTCCTGGGCCATGGCAGCACCCCCCAGGCACTTGGGTATTTCAGCATAGATTCCAGTTTCGCTCCCTGGGCAGACTACCCAGGCCTCATCTGGGACAGGGCAGAGGAGGAGAGGAGGCGTTGGTGGCCCCCACGAAGGAGGGTGGAGCCTGAGGGTGAGTGTCCCATGTTCACACAAGCACTGCTCTCTTCACTTGTGGGACTGACTTTGCAAACCCAAGGATGAACTTTGTGTGCGCATTCAATAAAATCATCTTGGGGAAAGGCTGGCATCCCCGTGTCCTTCAAGCTCTTGGGGAGGGAAGGCCCCACATGGGCCCTGAGCCATCTTCGACACCCACTCCCGTAGAGGCGGGGGGGCAGGCGCGGAGCAGTTAGGGAAGGAGCCAACTCCCAGCGCCCACTCGAGGCTCTAAGCCAGCTCATGCCCTGCCCCTCACAGACCAGGCATGGGGTTGGGCTGGCAACAGGCCTGCTCAGCCCTGCTGGGGCCACGTAACAGGCTGCAGGCCTGCAATGGTGTTGAGAGCACCCAGGAGCCAGGAAAGACTTCTAGGGGACACCTGGCCAGTCGCCCCACTGGTCTCGTTAGCAAGAGCACAGCCTGGGAATGTGCCTCTGTTGAATGCTGGTGTTTGTTTGGAGGGGGGATGTGGAGCAGTCGACCACCCACAGTAAATGCTGAACACACCCAGTCTCACACCTCCCCTCACTTGCCCATCATCTGACCACCCTCCTCTTCAACAGGACTGCCCTTGAAAACGACAGGCACCCGAACCCATAGGAGCCAGGAAGGAGACGGGGGCAGCTGGCTTTCATCTGCATGGTGGACCGCCACATTACATGTCCTAGGAGTTGCAGCTGACACAGGTTTTCCAAATCCCTGACTCAATAACTGACCCAGGAACCAGCTGAGGTGACGGAAATGGGTGCTTCCTCTGCACGTTCCCAAGGGTAGTAGAGAATGTTCAGGGAAAGGCGGTCCCACCTCCTACAGGGATAAAGACCAGGCAAGCCCCTCTCCATCCCAGCCTCCTGACTCCCAATCCCATGTCCCAGTGCCCCCAAGTGGTCACGTGGCCCCACCTTGGACACCCATGCCTCTGGGACCAGCTGAAACTGAAAGGAAAAGCTGTTGACCCAAAAGTGTAAACGGATCTCCTGCCTGGGAAGCAGGAAGGACGAAGGGGCACATCTCCAGGTCCATGAGGCTGGAAGGCGGCCAGGCCCTCAGGCAGGTGCCCTTCTGGGATCAGAGGTCACGGTGTGATGGGCATTGCCAGGGAAGGGGCTGGGAGCAAGCAGCAGAGTCTCCCCTGAGTCTGCCTCTGCAGGCCCAGCCCCGACACAGGGGCAGCGCCAGTGTTTGCTGAGCTCCTCTACTCGGCAGACAATCCAGAGGGTTTCCTCTGAGTCCTCTCGCAGAATCTGTGTAGAGGCAATCAGTCATCACAGGAAGGAGTAAGCTCGCCAGGCCACTAGGGAGGACCAGAGCTGGAGAACCAGAGGTGGGCGGGTGAGCTGGGGGGGCTTGCTTGGGGAAAAAGGGTTGCTCCGTCATTCTTAAGCCCCTCCGGCCTTCTTGCCAAACCCCAAGTAGGCCCCTTATCCACTCTTTCCCGCAACTCTGGCCAGGGAGATGACACTTTAGACACCTAAACAGACACCCGGAAGTCCTTCCCATCAGACGGGAGGGACAACGTCCATTCTTTCCCCATTGCCGTCCTCTCTGATCCTCACAACAGCCCTGTGAGGTAGGCGGGGGGGTGGCTTCTTCCTCATGTCACAAATGACCACAGCAGGGTGGGAAGCTCAGGGCAGCCCCTCCTCTGCTCCTTTGCACTGCCCTGGCCATGGGGGTGAGTGGGTCTGTGCTTCCCTTGCATAACTGGCTCTGGCTCTAGCAGACACACCTGCCTGAGGGGACATTTGTTCTAGGAGCCAGAAGCCCAATCGGCCTCTGCTTATGGCCTCCCTGACCTTCCACCTGCCTCCACGGCAGGAGCAGCTCCCAGAGCCAGGGGAAGAGGCTGGAGCCCTGGCCTGGCTTCCTAGAGAATGTGCAGCCTTGGCTGCCCCTGCCCCAGGGCTGGAATGGCTGTCCCCATGCTGCAGCCGCCTCCACCTGGGACCAGCTACGCCCATCACACAGTCATGGACACACAGCAAAAGCAGCAGACATGCCCTGGAGCCCTGTCAGGATGCACACTAGCATCTGCAGACAAACACGTGCCCAGGTACACACTCCTCCAGATACACGCACACACACACTCCTCCAGATACACGCACACACTCCTCCAGATACACACACACTCCTGAACACACTGTGCACCCACGTGTGCCCTCCCACACAGCCGTACACCTGCCGAGGCGGCACCCCATGGGTGGGAGGGAGGAGTCCACGGCCTCTCTAGGCCTCTGCTTCCCTGAGTTGCTCTGCTTGTCCTCCATTCAGGATGGGGCAGAGGCGGAGGCTCTGTAGCAATGTCCTGGGCCCTGGAAGCAGCTTCCTTGGGTCTCCTGGTAGAAGCCATCCAGGACCTCCAGATGCTGGTGCTGGCACTGGCCGCCAGGCTGGCCTAGATGAGTCTCTCCTCTGGTGGCACCTTGAGGACACTATCCATCTCCAGACGGGCCCCGGCCACTTCCTGCTGGCTTGGGCTATAGGTGCCCTCGGACTGGCGGCGCTTTCGGGCTGCAAGGATCCCTGAAAGGAGGCCCAGGAGGAGGAGAAGGAGGCAGGCACAGGCTGCAGGCACAGCCACCTCCAGCAGCGGGAATGGCAGTGGCAGGGGCAGGCCTTTCTGCAAATGACACAACATCGAGGCCTAAGTCGCAGAGAAGGGGAGGCCCCGGGGCTGCAGAGCAAAGAGGGCAGCATGAGGATTGCTCAGAGAAAATCAGAGCTGGGATCAGGCTGCCCTGGGAGGGGCGAGACCCCCAGCCCCAGGAGTATGCAGGCAAGTGCCAGGAAACCACCTGTCAGAGCCACTGCTTCGGGGAGCCCTGTACAGCAAAGGAGTTCTGGCTAGAAGGACAGAGACAGACATTTACTGAACACCTAGCAGGAGCTAAGCACGGTGCCTGGGTTTCACGAAGCCTGTGAGGGTCTGATGAACAGGAGCAGGGTGGGCTGAGTGGCCCCCTGCCACAATAGCAAGGTCAGAATCCATCGGGGCTGGCCTGCTGCATCGGGGTGGCAGGGGGGTGGGGGGCTGCTCTGACAGCTTGTCCCTGCGAGGCTCATCCCAGGCTTGGGGAGAGGGGGCAGCAAACCTCCTTGCTGTCTCCAGTCACAGGCTCCCAGGACACCCCATCAAAGGCTCTACACACCTGGGACTCTGAAGTCCCAGGATCTAAGGATTCCAGAGGCACAGGAGGCACACGGGGTCTCAGACTCACCAGCCTCCCTCTGTACCTCCAGGCTTGTCAGCCTGCTGTGACCTGGGTTCCAAAGCTAGAGAGGAAAGTTCCTCTCGGTCCTGAGTGGGCCCTGCCAGCCTCCACCCCTGGGCATTTTGGGGGAGAAGCTGTAAAGCCATTTCCTCCCCCTGCCCTGGGAGGTGGCTGGGTGGGGAAGCCAGAGGCTGTAAAAGTTCAACTTGAAAGGAAACATTCCCAGTAAGTGGAGGGGATTTGTGTTTTATGACCCAGGCTGCCAGAAGCCTGTGGAGATCAAGGCTGCTCCCCAGACTTCCCTTCCAAGCCCAGGAAGGGGTGTGGTGGGGAGGTTCACAGCCTGCCGCCTTGGTCTGTCCAGGCTCCTCCTGGGCTCAGCCCCTGGGCTTGGGGTCAGCCTGCACAGCAGCCAAGCCTACCCTGGAGCCGACTCCCAGGCCCCTCCATGTCTTCCTACTCAGGACACTGGCTCAGAAACCTCTGGAGATGAGAGTCTCCTGGATTCACCAACCTAAATCCCAGAACGCCTACATCCTCTGGGCCCTTAATCCTGGTTGAATCGGCAGAGACCATCTGTCCTCACTGCCACTGCCCTGGGCACTCTGGGGAAGCCCCTGACCCGGCCAGGAGCTCTGTGCTCTCACCAACAGACAGTGGCAGCCCCCAAAGCTCTCCCTGGAGTGGAAATACCTCCTGTGTGGGGAGTGTGGAAGGGACCCAAGGCTCTTCTCGCTGACCCCTCCATGACAGAGTGGCCCAGGAATAGCCCCACGGTGCTACATTACTGTCCCCACTCCCCACAGCATCTTGCCAAGGGCCCAGCAGGCCATGTCCATGGCCCCTCACCCCTGGCATCACTCACCACCACTTCACAGAACCGGCCAGAGAACCTGGCGCTGCAGATACATTCAGATGCCCCTCCAGCTGCTCGGCAGGTGCCCCCATTCAAGCAGGGGTTGGCTTCACAGGGAAGGGGTGGGACCCGACACCTGGAGAGGGAAGGGGGCTGAGAAAGCAGCTCCCCCATGGCTGCCTCTTGTGCTCCCAGCTGCTCTGCTGCCCACCCCACCCTCAGCAAGCATCAGCGCTTGTCTATCCACTGCCCCCACACACTGCTCCCACCCAGCTGGGCCCTGCCAGGTGGCCACATGAGCAGCCATGACTGAGAGGAACTCTCACCCCGTTGGGGTGCTGGGGAAGCCTGTGTGAAGGCAGGCGCCCAGGAGCTGACACCACTGTGTGCAGGACCCAGAACCTGCACTTTTACAGTGTCCCACAGGCGGGCTGAGGCCGTGGGACACAGAACCACCACCAGGTCACCACTGCCCAGCAGCGGTCTATCATAGAGGATGGTCTTGGAAGACATGGAAGGAAACTCAAGTGACAGTGGTGACTGTGATACCAGAGAGGGGTGAGGAGGTGGGCGAGGACCCCTGTCCCGCCCTGGCTGGTGGAACAGCCCTCCACACCCATTGGACCACCTCATAGTCCCCAAGCCCCCAGACCCACCTCTGGTCAGCAAGACCCTCCAGGCAGCTGCAGTTGGCAGCAGGAGACCCACCCTCACACCGGCTGCTGTTGAGGCAGGTGACGTTCAGGTTGCACTCCTTGGGTGGGACAGGCAACCTGGAGAGGGAGTAGAGGCTGGAGTGGGGTGCAGGAGGCCTGGGACCTGCCCTCCCAGACGCTGTGGCCATGGGCCACCTGAGCCTGTGTTCTCAGGCATGGAATTCAGGGCCCTCCTCTATCAGTCGTGGGATTGGGGTCCCTGGTGGGAGGGAAGGGATACAAGACTGTCACTTTCCAGAGACTCAGAGGACTCTGAGGACAAAATTCAAGGACTCAACAAAAGCAGCTCCTAAACAACACCTGGACATTCTTCAGGGGAGAGGGAGGGGTTTGGCCAGGCAGATCCCCTTTCACACACTGAGCTCCCCAGAGAGCCACCCTGAGGTGAATAAGGGAAGCACCAAAGTCTGAACGGCTCATTCCAGCCTGACCCCCTCCCCCCAGCCTGGTCCCCTCTCTCCAGTCTGGCCCCTCCCCTCCAGCATGGTCCCTCCCTCCAGCCTGACTCCCCCTCCCTGTGCCCTAACCCGCGACCAACAGGAATGAACCTCCGTGTAAGGCAGGCAGCTCCCAGCCCCAGACCACAGTGCTGTTTATCTGAAATTCCAAGCTAACTGGGCATGTTTTGATCTGTGTTTTATCAGGAAGTTTATGAAGTCAAACCATCTTCCTCATGTCACAGATAAGGGCATGAGGCTCAGGGAAGGGAAGCAACTCTTCCACAAACCTGGCGGACTTCTCTTCCCCTCCACAGCCCCAGGGGGAGTTCACAGCCCACCCCAACCCTGGTCACCGGCGGGGCCCGCCCTCCTGCCCGGCCGTCCCACCTGCAGCGCGGGCCCCCGAAGCCGGGCGGGCAGAGGCACTCGAAACGGCCGTCAGAGTGCGTGTGACAGCGGCCACGGGCGCAGGGCGCCGAGTGACAGGGGTCGACATGGGCCTCGCAGCGAGGGCCCTCCCAGCTCGGGCCACAGGCGCAGGCGAAGGCGTCGAAGAGGTCACGGCAGGCGCCGCCGTGCAGGCAGGGCGAGGGCGCACACACCGGCGTGCCGCGGCAGCCGAGGATCGGGGCTGGCGCCCCAGGCCAGGCCATGAAGTGCTCTCGGGCTCCGGGGGCCGCGCCTGGCCGGGGCCGCGCCAAGGGCAAGGGGAAGCCACCCAGCGCCACGCGGCCCAAGCAGCCGGTGAAGTTCTCGGCCAGCAGGACGCGTGCGGCACCTGGACCCTGCAAGAAGCCCAGGTCGCCGGCCAGGCCGCGCAGTGCTACCGGCGTGGCAGCGCCGTCCAGCCACAGCAGCCAGGGCGAGGCAGCGGCCGCCGGGCGCTCCATGGCCAGGTGCACGCGGTGCCAAGCGCCATCAGCCACGCGCAGCCCAGGCATGGGCAGCACAGCGCCGGGCAGGCCGCGGCCTCCACGCACGCCGCCCACCAGCGAGCCGTTGCGCACCGCCAGCCACACTCCAGACGTGTTGCCGGCTGCGGCGCGCAGCAGCCAGGCTTCGGGGTCGCGCGTGCGGAAGGCCAGCGACAGGCCGCCGAGCGAGTGCCCCGACGATGCGTTGTGCCCGCTGAACATGGCGGGGGGACCCTCCCGGAACGTGGTCTGGGCCACACCTGCGGAGAAAGGGAGCCTCAGGGAATGGCCCACGGAACCTTCTCCAGAAACGCTACGTCCCCACTTCCCCCAGAGAGTGACAGACGAGCCACTTACTGAGGGCCCATCATGGGGGGCGGGGCACACGCACCCACCTTTCATCTAATCGTGGATCCTGGAAACTGCAGCCGCCCCCTGCCACCCTCACTTCTACCCCACATGTATTTCCTACCGCCGGAAGGGCAATTCCAGGCCAGTGCTGGGGAGGGCAGGATGCTCAGGCGACCCTCCAGGTCACAGGCCCAGCAACAGCAACTCCCAGCAGAATCTGGCCCCTTCCCTCCTCCGTGAAGCTGCCCCACCTCACGGCGGAGGCTCGCCCTTCACTGCAGCCAGTCATCTTTGTAAAATGCAGAGCTGGTCATGCCCCTCTCCTGAAAACCCTCGGAGGCTCCCCGCTGCCCTTGGGGATAAAGTCAGAAATGCCTCACTGGGCGTCTACAAAGCCTCTGTCAACTTTCCCACCCCGTTCCTGCTCACCCCCTTGCACTTCTGCTGTTCTTGCTGACCTCAGGGACTTTGCACATGCTGTGCCCCCTCAGTGAAATGTCCTTCCCCCCCGCCCCCGCCCCCGCCTCTCAGAGTCTGGCCTTGAAGCCCAGCACAGGCTCGCCTCCTGCAGATACTCTGTCCCTCTGCATTCGGGGGGCCCTGCCACACTGCCCTGGGGCTTGGCATGCCTGGTCCGCTAATATCTGACAAGCCCTGAGCATGCAGATGGCATCTAACCAGCTTGGGTGTCCAGCGCCCAGCACGGGAGCAGCCCAGGACACACACTCACACACAAAGCCATCGGGGACCTCCTCACACGTGGCAGGTGGGAGACAGGGCTGGCCGGGACACCACAGCTGCTGGGCACACGTGGGCCCTGTGAAGTTGGCAGGGCAGGTACAGTGGAAGTCATTCCAGGTGACGAGGCAAGTGCCACCATTGAAACAGGGGTCAGGCTGTGGGAGAGGCAGGGCGGGAGGTGGCTCAGGACTGCTGCTGGCAACACCCACCATAGCCAGCCTCGCAGTGCTTCTCCACTGAGCACCTGCTACAGACGTGGTATCTCCTCACAAACGAGTGGAGAGAAAGTCACTAGCATCCCCGTTTTATAGATGAGAAAGCTGAGGCTCAGTGAGGCAAAGCCCCTTGCCTGAGTTACCCAGCCAGTAGAGAGAGGAACCAGAGTTCCTGCCCATGCTGTTCCAACCCCAGGGCTGGTGGAATTCTGTTCCTGATCAAATAGGTGGCCCTGTCCCCCCAAGTACACTCCTGCAGAAAGGCTCAGGCAGCCCTCAATCTCGGTCAGGGTGTCTCTCTCAGACCAGGACTGGCTGTGGGAGGCATGGGGACCACCAAAGGGTAGGAGCAGCTGGGCTGGAGAGGGGGTGAATGCAAATCCTGCCCTGCCACCCTCCTGTAGTGGGACCCTGTGCAGGTCACTTCACCTCTTAAGCCCCAGTTTCCTCATCAGCAAAAAGACACACCCCTGGTGATGCAGAATATATCCTGGGAAAAGGACCCGCCCCTAGACACTTACACTGCACGTGTCCTCAGAGACGCAGCCCGCAGTGAGGTTCCAGTACTGCCTGCCACCGAGCTCACTGGGCTGGCTTAAGTTGTCCAGTGGCAGAGGAAGGAAGGGGAGGTGGTGGCCATCGAGTTGCAGGTCCTGGAGGCAGCCTCGGAAGGGCCCACCCCAGGGTTGGCTGTCAGCAGTGAGGAGCCTCCCACCCACATGCACCTGCTGCCCCAGGTCCTGCAGCTGGTCAGGCCCGAAGCTGAGCGTCACCAGGTGGCGGAGCCCATCATCCCAGCGCCCAGGGAGCACTACAGCAGGACTGCCTGGCACCTCGGCCCAGATCCGACCCTCACTCAGGAATACTGTCAGGCCAGCTGTGGAGTCATTGGCAAACTGGAGCAACATGCCAGCAGGCTCCCGGGTGCGGAGAAGGAAAGACACTGTGAGGTTGGGGCCTGGCAGCTCTTGGAGGAGAAAGGAGGCAGAGCTCGGGGTGCCTCCCAAGCCAAAGGTGGCAGCAGGAATCTCTGCAGGGATAGAAGGTGCCAGTGTGAGGCCTACAGGCTGAGGGAGCCAGATTTTGGGTGCTGCCTTCCCACCTGGCTCACTCCTCACCATCAGCACATGTGGGACCCCTATAGGGCCGTGGACAGTCGCAACGGAAATGAGTCCACAGATCCACACAGGCCCCTCCGTGGACACAAGGCAAAGGCTGGCACTGCTCTCGGCGCTTGCAGCCCAGGAGGACGTTCTCGCCAAGGTCCTCAGGCAGCAGGAGGTGCCCATCCACACGCACGTCCTGGAGGCAGCCTGCAAATGCCACGTCCCCCAGCCGGGCAGAGGAGATCCTGGCAGGCAGCGGGGTTGCCGAAGCCATGGGAGCCAGGGCCACGGGAGCAGAGGCCACACAGAGCCGAGCAGGGCAGCCCTCATGCCAGAGCCGCAGCTCCAGGGTCCCTGGGCGGAGCGCCACCTCCACCTGGTGCCAATGGCCATCGTTTAGGGCCAGGTCCGGCAGTCTCAGGACAAGCACAGTGGTGCCGTGGCTCCAGAGTGTCGCCTGAAGTGTGGCTGCCACCAATGCCAGTTCCAAGCTTTCCTTGGTGTCATTGCGAGTGGCCAAGGTCCCAGCGGGCAGCGTGGTGCGAAACCTCAGTGCCAGACCCAGCGGGCCACCAGCTGGCACAGATGCCTGAATGAGGCTCCCAGCCATCACAGAGAAGGTGGTATTCTGGCCACAGAAAGGTCCATGGGTACCAGGTGGGCAGTTGCAGACATAACTGTGGACCCCAGACTCAAAGATAGGGATGCAGGTGGCAGCCAGCGGGCAGGTGTGGTCCTGGCAGCCAGTGAGCTGCACAGAACAGTCGCGCCCACCCCAGGTCTTTGGGCACCAGCAGATATAGCCTGCCACAGTGTCACTGCAGGTTCCACCATGGAGGCAGGGATCCGACAGGCATTCATCCACATCTTCCTGACATGTCAGCCCTTTGGGGGAGACCAAGCCAAGGCTCAGTAATGTCTGGGGCCAGAACCACAGTATTGACCCAGAACTTACATACCTCTTATGATAGGGACCTCAGTGCCTATCAACCAAACCAATTCCCAAAGGATTTCTCACGGTCCCCTGACGTCCTCCGTAGGCCAGAATCCAAGATGCCCCTTCCTATGTCTGGTGAGTCTCCAGGCCCTGTGGATTTAATCTCCTAAACACTCTCCAATGCCCCCTTTCTCCGCCCCTCCCCTCGTCTCCTGCCTTACCAGCTCTGGGCTACCGTCCTGTCCTGTCTCCTCCAGTTTGTCAGCGTTCAGAAGCCCTCTCCCATCCATCTCCACCAGTAGCCAGAGGTCTGTTTCTAAAGCATCGCCTGGCCAGGTACCTGTACCGCTTAAGGCCCCATCACACACCCTGACATTTAAGACCCCCCCATGGACTGGGTTCTATAAGGCTCTGAAGCCTCAATCCTGCTTCCCAAGACCTTGAACTTCCCATTCCTCCAAGCATTTCCTGGAAAGTCCTGCCTCTGGGGCTTTGTTCATTCTGTTCTGTCTGCTTGGAATGCTTCATTCTCCCTTACCCTTCCTTTCAGACTCCTATTCATCCTGCAAAGCCCAAACTCAAAGGGCCCAGAGGCTTCCCCTAACTCCCAACTTCAAATTATAGTATCACTCTCCACTCCCAGACACAGCTCCCCAGAACCCTGTATTAAAAGTATCTGTTTACTCAGCTGAGATCTCCTTCAGGGACCTGAATATGTCCTTGGTGTCCAGCAAAGGGCATGGTATGGCTTTTATGGACAGAGTGATGAAATGGAGGAGCTGGTGGGGTGATGCATGCACCCGAGGCACTCTGAGCAGCCCCCTGCCCCAGGTTCAACTCCTCAGTCCCTCGGCCCCAGGGTCCCCACACTGGCTGTGAAGGGGCTGCCTCATCCTCCCTCCAGGTGCTCACGCCCTGCCTTGGGTCAAGAAGCCATAGCCCAACTATAGCTCAGCTCGAGCCACATTCCAGCTGGAGGAACCCAGGCCCAGAGAGGCCACCTGGGTCTGAAGCCCAGCCTGACCAGCTCACAAACGTACCTCCTCCTAGGAATCACCACCCACCAACCTCTCCATACCCAGGGCCCCATCCTCCATACCTGCCAGGAGCCACAGGTGACCCAGGAAGATCCACAGAGCCCCCGGCCCCATTGCCATGCTCCCAGACAGGTTGAGAGTGGTGGGCGGGCACTGAGGCTGGGGGTGGGGGCAGAGCTCCCTGCTTGGCCCAGCTGCCTCCTTCAAAGCCTGCTCAGGAATGCCAGGCACTGGCCTCCCCCACAGCCAGCACGGCCCAAAGAGAGGGAGGATGGGCAAAGAGCCCGGCCCTGCAGCTGGGGTCCCCCCTCCCTGGCTCTGACCTCAGAGGTCTGCCCTCCCAGTCACCCAACAGCTGAGCTCAACTGGGAAATGAGACGGGTTCCTGCTGACACTGGTGAACCCAGGGGATGACACCCCCCCATGCTCTCAGCTATAAGATGGGGTTTTAAACCCCTGCCTCATGGGGCTGTAGCAATGAAGAAATGAAAAATGCACAGCAAATGCTTCCCGGAGGCCAGGCATGCTGTGTGGGCCCAACGTGTGCCAGGTACCAAGGAGGCTGTTGTTCTTGGAGCAGGACTTGGGGAAGCTCGGCCCATGGGGGCAGTGGATGGGCCTTCAGGACACCCAGGAGTGTCGGCCATTCAGGGACGGGGGACACTGAGTCCCACCATCTTTAGGTGAGTGAGGGTGGGGGAGATGCGTCATCAGCAACTCTTTCTCCTGGTGGAGAAGCCTGTGCCCAGGAGCCTGCCAGGAAGAGGAGCCAGTGTACCCCAGCAGGAATGTGGGTGGGTGTGGGGGAGGTGTCACAGGCATTCCAGAGGGGCCAGGGACACTCGGTTGCACAGTCACCGGTGTCCTGTGTCTGTGCATCTGCATGTGCCCACGGCAGGGGAGACTTCCTGAACCCCCAGCTCCTGCCTGAGAGGCCCCAGCTTCCCAAAGTCAGGGTCCTCCTCCTACAGATGCTGCCCCCCAACTCTCTGCAGTAGCCCCCCTTTCCTTCTCTGCCCTGGCCAAACCGCCTCGTCTTCCCTGAAGGTGTGCAGGGTTCTCTGCCCATCCCCCCCCATTCTCCAGGACAACCTCAGCCCACTGAGGCCCCAGCTGCCAGGACTACACTCCTGATCCCCAGTCTCACCTCCAAAGCGAGTCCCAGTTCAGCCACCTTCAGCGGTCACCTGGGCCCCCACGCCCTCCTCCTCCCTGATCTCCTTGACCTCATCAATCCACACATCAGACAGAAGGGACCTTCTCACCCAAGAACCACCAATTCTGACATTCCCAGGGCCCGCCCCACCCCAGACACCTGCATAGCCATCTGGGCAGTGACACTGGAAGCCATTGGGCAGGTCCTGGCAGCGGCCCCCATTGAGGCATGGCTGTGAGGCACATTCGTCCACCTCCACGCTGCAGTCAGCTCCTGCAAGAGGCCCAGCTGTGGGTCCCACCTGCACCCTCAGAGCCAGGCAGGGGCTGAGAGGGTCCATTCTATAGCTAGGGAGACCAAGGCCGAGAGAGAGGGCAGAGTTGGGCGTGGAGTGGCAAGGGGAACAAGATCCCTCCCAGGGCACCTGAACACGGGCTGACTGCTTCCCCAGCAGGGGCTCACCCTCAAAGCCAGGAGGGCAGAGGCAGAGGAAGCCCACCGCGTGGCGGAAGCTGAAGACACCAGGGAAGGCAGGCTGGACGCCCCCGTAGAGGGCCGGGTCGGAGCGCTGCAGGCACTGGCCCCCGTGCTGGCAGGGGCTCGCTGCACACTCGTCCTCGTCCACTTCGCATCGCTCACCACTGTAGCCTGGGGGCGCACACACACAGCATCAGGTCTCACGGGGTCACCAGGCAGCACCTCTTCACTGTCACATGGCTAGCTGGGGCTAGCTAGGGACCGCAGCTCGGAATACGCCACCAAATGCGAGGGAGGGACGCACTGAGGGCGGCAGGGATGACCATGGCAGCCTTCAGCAGCAGCGGCCTACTGCTGCTATTACTAGTATTACTGCTGTGACGAGTACTAATTACTGAGCCCTTCTGAGCTGTCATGCCCGTGCCAAGGGCTTCCCAGCCATTGCACCTTCGCTCTCCCTGCAGCAACCCCAGGAGCGGGCGCCACAATCAGCCCTATTTTGTAGATCAAGAAACTGAGGCTCCGACAGGTTGCAGTCACACACTCTAGTCCCAAGGGCCCCCCCCCGCCCCCCACCGCGGGCACTCGCGCACGCGTACAGCCGCACACCTGCCCCGCCACCCCAGGCCGCACATGCGCACATACACACCTACCCGCTGCCCTAGGCCACGCACGCGCATGCACATGCCTTCCCTCCACCCCAGGCCACGCACGCGCATGCACATGCCTTCCCTCCACCCCAGGCCACGCACGCGCACGCACACAGCCTGCCACCCCAGGCCGCGCACGCGCACGCACACGCCTTCTCCTCCACCTCAGTCCACATACACGCACGCAAACCCTACCCCACCGCCCCGGGCCACACACGTGCACACACACACCTTCCCCTCTATCCCAGGCCACGCACGCGCACACCTGCCTCTCCGCCACGCGCACGCACACACCTGGCCAACAGAGACAGCGGAAGCTCCCGAGGCCCTCAAGGCAGGACGCGTTGTGCGCGCAGGGCGCCGATGCGCACTCCAGCACCTCCTGCTCGCAGTGCGCGCCCTCGTAGCCGGTGCCCGCGCAGTCGCACCGGAACCTGGGGAGGGCACGCGGCCGGAGCTGAGCGCGCACCTGCCCCTTCAGCCCTGTGCCCTCCGGCCCCCGCCGCCCTCGGGCACCCGGCGCCCCGGTCCCCTGCCCTGCCGCTCGCTCACCCGTTGACCAGGTCGTGGCACGTGCCCCCGTGTGCGCACGGCTGGCTCTGGCACTCATCGAGGTCCAGCTGGCAGCGGGTGTCCCCATAGCCCGGCGCGCACACACAGCGGAAGGAGCCCACGCCGTCCAGACACGAGCCCCCATGCAGGCAGGGCGCCGAGGCGCACTCGTCCACCTCCGTCTCGCAGGTCACGCCTGGACAGGGCCGGAGACACACAGGGCGTGGGATGGACACCTGGAGCAGGGCAGAAGAGGCAGAGCCAGGCCCACTCGGAGATAGAGACTTGTGGGTTCATTCATTCAGAGCTGCGTGTGGTGGGGGCGGGGGTCGCGCCAGCCAGCCACCGCAGGGAGAGAACGAGACCGACAGCCCTGCCCTCAGGGGACTCACAACAGTCTAGGCCAGGAGATGGGGGGAATTCGGCCAGTAATTACATACATGAGCTGGGTTTTGATGTTGCCAAGCTCAACGAGGAAAAGAGTTGGGTCCTGAAAAAGCAATAGCCGGAGTCTGCTCTATTCAGGGAAGGCTTCCTGGAAAAAGAGGCTTTTGAAGGATTCAGATAGGGGACTGTGGGCAGCAGCTGACGGCAGGCAGCCGGAGGCAAGTTCCGCTCAGGTCAGGGCCACCATGCCCTAGGGTGGGGTGCTAGGAGGGTGGGAAGCAAGGGAGAGGGTGGAGGCGGCCAGTCTAGTGGGAGGTGTTAGTGCCGTGGGGACCAGGTAACCTCTGGGTCCATCCTGAAAGTTTCAGACAGATGAGTGACTTGGTCCTACCTACATTTTATTTGTTTGTTTTGTTTTCTTGAGACAGAGTCTTGTTCTGTCTCCCAGGCGGGAGTGCAGTGATGCAATCTCTACCTCACAGGTTCAAGCAATTCTTGTGCCTCAGCCTCCAGAGTAGCTGGGATTACAGGTGCCCACCACCTCACTCGGCTAATTTTTGTATTTTTTTTTTTGTAGAGAAGGGGTTTTGCCATGTTGGCCAGGCTGGTCTTTTAACTCCTGGCCTCAAGCGATCGACCCGCCTCGGCCTCCCAAAGTGCTGGGATTACAGGCCTAAGCTACCGCACCTGGCCCTATCTACATTTTTGAAGGCCCACGCTGATGGCTGTGAGACCCTCGAGAGGCCGGAGATGCTGGGGGAGGTTAATCACTCCTCCTTGTGTCCCTGAACTGTCCTGGTTTTAGAACTGAAAGTACCGAGTCCCAGGAACCGTCACCGTCCTGGGCAAATCAAGACTGCTGAGTGGCTCTCCCAGGGTGAGGGTGGAGAGGAAGGGAGCTGGAGTCCCAGGGTTTCAGATACACCACCTGAGATCATCCTGGAGCTCAGGGTCACTGTAGACTCCAGTGGGCCCTGCCCCCTAAGTGGGTTGTGTCAAGGGCGGGCCCAGAGGCCCAGCGGACTCCAGCTGGAACCCTCCCGCTTCTCAGTTCATTGAGCACAAAACATGACCCCACCTTCTCATCACCCTTCCCTCCTCCCGCCCCATCCCCACTCCCACCCGCTGTGTCAGGGGGAGCCAGGGCTCTGCTGGAAATCCCAAACTCCCCCACCCAGCTTGGAATGGAAAGAGGAGAGAATGAGTCATGGCAGATGCTGCCCCAACTCACATCCACAGCTTTCCCAGAAAGAGTTACCCAAAGTATGTGAGTGCCACACATCGGGTACACAACCCACTGCTCACACACACACATTCCCCACACCCACAGGTTCCTCACACACGCACTCAGCAGAGGCGCCCCAGGTACCCACAGATCTTTACGGATACAAAAGAGAACAAACCAGGAAACACGGACGGATGTGGCCCACACTGGCATGTACACTAATACACCCAGACCAGACACTGAAACACCAGAACGGTGAGAAGGATGCATGGAACTGGCTTCCCAAATCTCTCTTCATCAGCTGCCATTTCGTCACTATAGGCCCCCTGCCCTGGAACTCAGCCCCACAATCTGTACCCCTTGCTCTGAAGTGACTTCAAACTGCCCTCTGCCCTCAGAATACAGTTGTCTGAATTCAGGATTGAAGGAGAATCCAGAGTGCCTACACTGCAGACTCCAGACTGCCCTGGACTTGGCCTCACTCCCACACCTGTCCGCAGCTGCACCCTCCTTCCCGACTTCAGGCCTCTCTAGGAAGGCACTCCAGGATGCTCTCGGCTCAGACCATGCCATGGGTAGGCCTTGGACAGGCCATACTATGAAGAAGGCCCTAAATGCCACTCACTTTTCTGAGCACTTACATATATATTATCCCACTCCAGACAGCAGTGATCCGTGGGGTGCATCAGCACTACAGTTTGTACGAGACCGTGGGTGTCTCTATGCTAGAACTCTGGGAGTCTCCCCCAGACCAGATGCCAGGGGTCCACATTGCATCCCAGACCACATCAAGAGTGTTCAAATGAGCGGATGGTGCCTGTCATGTGTCTACATGACAGCTTGGCACAGGCCTGCAGCAAGTGCTAGAAAGACTATCTGGGCATCCTCATTAAAGCCACGCCAGGCATGTCCACACTGCCAGAGATGCCTGAGGGGTACCTCCACCCCCAGAGCAAAGCTGAACTCTAGGCTGAACTGAAATAACATCGGGTGTCTGAGATGTGCCACACCGGGCCAGCACCCGCACCCATATACTCTCACCCAGAGCTGCCAGGTAAACCCACGAAATATCAATTCTGTAGTCAGACCGAGTGGATATACCCCAGAGCTGCCAGGATGCCTGGGGGCATCCCTACTCGAAGTCAAAGCTGAAGCCATGATGCTTACACTCTGAGCAGCTGGCGGATCCACATTACAGACTTCCTCCCAGGGCAGCCTGGGCTGTTACCTGCATAGCCAAGGGGGCAATGGCACTCATAGCGATCGGCCAGGTTGTGGCAGGTGGCCCCGTGGTGGCACGGCCGAGATGCACACTCATCGATGTCCAGCTCACAGCGTGGGCCCTGGAAACCCGGCACGCAGTAGCAGCGGAAGCCATCAGGATCTGGACCCTGGGGCACACACAGAGCGCCATGGTGGCATGGCTGGGTGGCACAGCCCCGGGGCTCTGTGGGCCCACAGGTGTAGCCACCACTCTCGGTAGCCTGGCACTCGGTCCCTGGAGCGCACGGGTCTGAGGCACAGGCACTGGGGGGCTCTGAAGGCACCGTCCCTGTAGAAAGAAGAAACTGGCTGGGCAGGGCGGGCAAACGTTACAATGACAATCTCCTCCCCACCCTCTCAGGCCCAGCCCAGACCCCTAAAGCAACATAGGTGTCTCCATGCGCAGGATGGACGGAGGGCCAGGGGTCTGCAAGCCAGATCCCAGTAAGCTGCACACATCTATACCCAGAACTGGGAGCAATTTTAGGAGAGTCTACATAGCAGAGAAGTAGGACCAGGGATGCCTGGCTGCTAGGCAGGATCAGCAGACAGAGGCTTCTGACCCCATGAGCATCCCTCTACTGTCTCATTCCTGCAGTGCCCCTTTGAGGTAGGATCTGTCATGCCACTGCACCAGACAGCAAAAGGAGGCCCAGGAAAGAAAGTGAAGGCTTGCTGAGGTCACAGTTAGTGTTCTCTGGGACAGGCTTCAAGGTCTGTCTGGGTTATTTCAGCTTCACCTGGGAGAGGGTCTCCCCTCACGTTTGCCTTCTGCAGGCCCCATCCATCCCAGGAGGCCCAAAAGGGTAAGGCTCCTCCCACTGCCCCCTCCACCTCTTCTGCCAGGGGTCTGGTAACTCCATCCCTGGGTGAAACTGGAGATGGCCCCAACCTCAACCTCGGGAGGACGGGTGGACAACTTCAAAGGCAGGGATCGTGTGTGCTCCGCTGGTCTCATTCCTACCCCTTCTCCACCTCACTACCCACCCCCTGCCAGCCACTGGCCTGGGAACTTCTAGAGGGCCCCGCCCTCATTTCATCCCCCATCAGCAAACACCTGAGTGTCCAGCCTGGCTGAGGTCACTTGGTACAGAGCAGGTATTGAGACGGCTCACGGACACCTGCCCCCCCACACACACTGTGATTCGTCTGGCACCGGAGCTCCCTCTGATAGAGGCTCACCAGCTGGCTTGGAAGCCAAGCCCAGAGATCCTCGTCCCCCTTCCTCTCCTCCTGCCTTCCTGAGAGCCTTGTCACTACAACGCCCAGGTGAGAACTTGGGCTTTGAAGTGAAACAGCCCTGGGTTCAAGTCCATCTCAGAAAGTTACTATGAGACCCTGGGTAAGTCATTTGTCCTACGGACCCTCCATTTCCCAGTCTGGAAATGGGGTAATAGAACCCCCTCATCAAATGCTGAATGATTCAACCCCTCAGGGCCGCAGTCAAGGGCTGCTTTTGGTAGGAATTCCGTAGGGATGGGGGAAGGGAACCTCGAGAAGGCACAGCCCCCGTTCCTCCCCCCACCCCCACCTGGAGCTCTCAGAGGTGTGCCCCTCCCCCACCCAGGTTGTCATCCAGACACTCACCAGATCCCAGAACAGCTCAGGCCCTGCACCCTTCCCTCCCCCACTCTGGTGAAGCCCCCCAGATAAGGCTGGCAGCCTCTCAGGCGTCATCTGCATTCCAGGCAGGGCTGTCCTGCCTCCAGACCTGCATCCTTCCAGCTCCCTTAGGAAAGGGCACAGGTTTGAGGCATCGGGCAGTCCTGGTTTGTATCTGGGATGCAAAAAGTGCCCGCCTCACGGAGGTGTTGAGAGGATCCACCAAGGTGATGCGGGCACAGCCCTGGCACTGGGTGTAGCCAGCACTGCTCAGGAGGGCGCAGCAATCATAACCCATGGTGAGGGGCCCCAGCTGCCAGTGCCTGTGCCAACAGGCCACTCACTTAATCCCCATAGAGCACTGCCCCTCACCTGTGCAGTGTGGGGGATGCCCCAATCCAATCTGAAGCTTTGCCCCCCATCTCAGAGCAGCTGGGACCATGCCAGGGAGGGAGCACCGGGGAAAGGATCCTGGGGGGCAGGGAAGGCACCCTGTCACAGGGGATCTTCCCAGGAACAGGGAACAGATGGGCCCTAAATGACAGAGCTCAGGAGACAGAGTCCAACCCCATGGGAGGAAGGAATCTCTCTAGTCAGAGCCAGACAGGAAGGGAAGGAGCGGCCTGTCCTGGGGGGCAGGCAGTAGTGCCACAGGCCTGCCTGGGAGGGACAGCCATATTTCTTACATCATCCCATGGATCTCACCATTTACCCTCCAAGGTGGATAGGACTATGATCCCTGTTTTACAGCTCAGGAAAGGCAGCCTCACAGTCCACAGCCTGAGGGAGGCTGGAATCCAAACCCAGGGCCTCACTCCAAGCTTCCCAGAATCATTGGGGGCCATATGAACAATACAGATTCCTGGAGCCCGCTCCAGACTCAAAATTTTGAACCACTGGCCCTGAGCCTGACAACCTGCCTTGCAACCAACTCCCTGGGGGATTCCTTTCACTTTTAGGTGTGGGAACCAGACCTCAGGTTGTCACCGTCTTCCAGGGGTGAGCCTGGGAGGCCAGAATAGCCCAGGGCAGACAGGAGAGGCAAGGAGGGGTGGGGTGTGGAGGGCAGCAGGGCAGAGGAGGGACCGTTCCCGGGCCCAGGCTGGAGAGGTGGGGCCTGTTGCCAGGGCAACGAGGGGCCTGTGCTTATCTTTACAAATCCCTCCTGACCTCAGGCTGCCTGGGCCGACCTGGCAGGGAGGGATTAACGGACGCCCGCCCCTCCTCTTCGACCTGGTGCCCTGTCCTGGGGAGGGCAGGAGGACACAGCCGTTTACTGAGTGTGTACTACGTGCTTGGGGCTGTGCGTCTATTTGTTTTTTTTTTGTTTTTTTTTTTTTTTGAGACGGAGTTTCGCTCTTGTTACCCAGGCTGGAGTGCAATGGCGCGATCTCGGCTCACCGCAACCTCCGCCTCCTGGGTTCAGGCAATTCTCCTGCCTCAGTCTCCTGAGTAGCTGGGTTTACAGGCACGCGCCACCATGCCCAGCTAATGTTTTGTATTTTTTTTAGTAGAGACGGGGTTTCACCGTGTTGACCAGGATGGTCTCGATCTCTTGACCTCGTGATCCACCTGCCTTGGCCTCCCAAAGTACTGGGATTACAGGCGTGAGCCGCCGCGCCCACCGCGCCCGGCCGTGTCTATTTGTTATACTCGATTGAGACCAGAAAAGGCCTGGGCTGTTAAGAAAATTCGCTTTTGTAACTCAAAGAGTTTGATAATTTTGCCCAAGTTGAAACAAAGAATCAGATCAGCTCCTGATTTCCCAGAGGTCCACTTCTCCACTTTGCAAACTCTAAATTGCCACCCACATATTGTCATTTTGGTACATTTCAGCTGCCTCACCCAGGAATAAATCTCTAAAGGTTTTCACAAGAATACAGTTTCCAATATCAGACTGGGCAGAGCGGGCCGTCTTCCACGTCTATCCAGAACCCAGCTGTTGGCAATCCCACCAGTCTCAGGCCTCGCGCAGTGGCTACTAACTCCTACTTTTCATGCACGTCTAATGGGCCTGGTTATAACAGCCAGCAACTGGGGAGAAGTGTTTTACTGAAGCCAGGTGTGGTGGCTCACACCTGTAATCCCAGCACTTGGGGAAGCTGAAATGGGAGGATCACTTCAGGCCAGGCGTTCGAGACCAGCCTGGCAGACAGAGTGAGACTGTCTCCACAAAACACAAAAAAATAAGCTGAGCATGGGGCAGGCCCTGTAGTCCCAGCTGCTTGGGAGGCTGAGGTGGGAGGATGGCTTGAGCCTGGGATGTTGAGGCTACAGTGAGCTATGATTTTGCCACTGCACCCCAGCCAGGGCAATAGAGTGAGATCCTTTCTCAAAATAAATAAATATAAATAAATAAACAAACCAAAAAACCACAAGCAAAAAAAAAAAAAAGCGTTTTACTGGGGAAACTTCCTGTCCGACAAATCAAGAGAGAATATTTCTGAGAAGCCACCTAAGCTCTCATAAGGTGTGGGAACGTCTAGCGTAGGGAAGAAATTGTTCATCTGAGATCCCTGGGCCCCAAAGCTCTACCCGCAACATGGGTAGGGCTGAATAACAGACACGATGGATGGGGCTTTGCAAACAGTCGTCAGGAAAGGGTAAAATACTCTTTCGGGCAGAAAAATTTGGAATGCTCTTTTTCAAAAATGTTTACCTTCTGAGGTTAAAAGGCATAATTTTGATAATAGCAATTGCAACAATAGCTGTCAGGGACGGAGTGCCTCCCCTGTGCCTGGCGCTGACGATCCCTTGAGTTCAGGCTCAGAGCACAGTTCCAGGGGGTTACCTCCTGAAGTGAGGGGGAAGGGGGGGGCAGGGGTTTCCCCACCTGCCACCCAGGCAGCCACTTTTAACAATTTTACTACTCACTATGAATGGGCTTCCATCTAAAACTTCCCTTGAAATTGGGGGTTCCATGCCAAAACCTGGTGTGGGACCACTCGCTGCATTCTCTTCGAATCCATGTACCTGAGCTCTGAGTGAGTCAGTCTGTCCTCGTTTTTCGTTTTTTTTGTTTGTTTGTTTGTTTTTTTGAGACGGAGTTTCGCTCTTGTTACCCAGGCTGGAGTGCAATGGCGCGATCTCGGCTCACCGCAACCTCCGCCTCCTGGGTTCAGGCAATTCTCCTGCCTCAGCCTCCTGAGTAGCTGGGATTACAGGCACGCGCCACCATGCCCAGCCAATTTTTTGTATTTTTAGTAGAGACAGGGTTTCACCATGTTGACCAGGATGGTCTCGATCTCTTGACCTCGTGATCCACCCGCCTCGGCCTCCCAAAGTGCTGGGATTACAGGCTTGAGCCACCGCGCCCGGCCCTCGTTTTGTTTTTTGAGACACACTCTCCCTCTATCGCCCAGGCTGGAGTGCAGTGGTGCGATCTCGGCTCACTGCAACCTCTGCCACCTGGGTTCAAGCAGTTCTCCTGCCTCAGCCTCCCAAGTAGCTGGGGTTACAGGCACCTGCCACCGTGCCTGGCTAATTTTTGTATTTTTAGTAGAGATGGGGTTTCACCATCTTGGCCAGACTGGTCTCGAACTCCTGACCTGGTGATCCACCCACCTTGGCCTCCCAAAGTGCTGGGATTACAAGCGTGAGCCACCTCGCCTGGCCTCCATCCTCGTTTTACAGAGACATAGAAGAGACATGACTTTCCCTAGGCTAGCTGCACAGTCCACTGCGAAATCCCAGCACTGGCTCGGGGACTGACTTGCTCTGTCTCTGGGCCTCGTTTACCTCCTCCATAAACTGAGGGTATCAGAGCCGACTTCGCAGGCTGCTGGGAGAATTCAGTTAGACCTTGTTAGTAGCACAGGGCCTGCCATGGAGTGGCCGATCATATCCATCAACAGTTCTTTACTTGAGGCAAACACCCACTGTCCAAAAGATCCTGACATTGGGTTGTCTCTGCCTCTGTCCCTGTCCCACAGGCCCCCACCCCCTTCTGGCTGGAGGAGGGGGTGGACCTGGGGCCTGGACTCACTGCCCCTTTGTCTGCCGGGCTCCCTGGGTGTTCGGGGAAGGGAGGGTGGATATGAGAGCCCAACACTCCCCATTGTCCTCCAAGATGCTTGGTCCTCTCCATGGCAACGAGCTGGGCCTTTGTAGCAAGTTGGGCCAGGGATGGAGGGGCCCAGCTCAGGGCCTGGAAGGGGTGGGCAGCACAGCCAGGGGCCCAGGGCCTCCAGAAGCCGCCATCCCCTCTGGGATGGAAATTGGTTTTCAAGTGACAAAATCTCCGGTCCTTCCCCTCCCAGCAGGCAGGCTAGGGCACTAGCATGCAGAAATGGTCATGTAGGCAGTGCCCCTGCCAGTGTTTAGGAGTCCCCAGGGATGGGGCCCCCAGCACGTAAGTGGCAGAGGAAAGGCTGCCCTGGATGCCCCAGCAGGGCTGATGGGATGAGTGTACCCACCAGTGTCCAGACACCACCCCCCCTGCCTCCATCCACGCTGTGCCTCCCAGTCCCATGTGGCTGCACACTGAGTGCGAATGCAACACGTCCACACGTGCGTGCGATGGGTGTGCACAGACGTGCCTTGTGTGTGCACGTGTGTGTAGGTGCATGTGCTGGTAGATCCACATGTGTCTGTGGCACCTGTTCCTCTGTCACCATGTGCCCTTGGGTGTGCCACACGGGTGTGTGGAGTGTGGGTATCACAGGGAGGGGGACACGGCCCCCATCCATCTCACGCGCTTTGCTTGCAGAGAACAGAGAGGAGAAGCCACCATCCCCACCGCCACTGCCCACCCCTCCACAGAGCCCAAGTCACCTGTCGGCCGAGCTTAGCTCATAACTCCCCATCCCTCTCTGAGCCTTGGTTTCCTTCAGTAGAAAATGGGGTCCTCATCCTCCCCAGGGCCCCATAGACAGGACAGGAAATGAAAGCTTTGCAAGCGCGGGAACCACGAGGGGCCCCAGGTGGGACTAGGAGAGGCTTGGCCCCCACACTCTGCAGCCTGCGGAGCTCTGGGGCACGGAGGGCTCCCCCAGCCTCAGGGGAGCCCTGGCCCTCCTTGGCTCCCTCCCCAGCCTGTGGAGGTGGGGGCGGGGACCTCCCAGGCCTGCCCCCGTAACTATAGTGACTAACACCAAGCGTTCCCTTAGACCCCCCAGGAGGAATTCCAGTCTCCGAGAGCTTGGACGAAAGTAAAAAGGGCTTGGTGAAAGGGGTCTGGCTTTAGGGAGCCCTTTCAGATTGGCTTTGGAATGCTGAGGAGGGGGCAGCAGGGGACACATGCTTGTTCCCAAAGCCCCAGCACCCCACAGGGACCCAGAGCATCTCAGCAGCCCCCAATGCAGCAGGGCCACCGCACCCAGCTCCCTGGGCCTTCCTCCCACTTCTCCACCTCGTCACCCGAGCTGGGGTCTGCCGCCCCCACCCCACACCCCTCATATTGAGAGCAAAGACCCAGTTCAGCCGCTCTGCACAACTTACACCCCACAGCGTGCGTGGGACACAGCTCATTACACCCAGCTCCTCAGACACAACTCCTAGCTCACCCCAGACAGCTCATCCACCTCCCAACTTCAACACACCCACCACCTGCGCCCCGCAACCCAGCATGGGACTCACAACAGGTTTTGGGGTGAGGCTTACGCCACCTGCAACTCCCCAAGAAACCCAGAAACCCAGAAGTCCCCCAGCCTTTTACAGGATGCAACACAGCACCTCCAAAACACACGCCCCCATCCCTCACCAGCAACAGCTCCCGCAAATCACGCCCAGCCCCAGTGCCCAACCCCCAAAACTTACAACCCCCCTCAACACAAAACAGCCCAGAACACAACACGCTCACTCCATGGAGCCCCACACGGTCTGGGGGCCCACAGCCACACATTCCTGTGCACCCCACAGCTCAGGCCTGCACCCACGCGGACCAGTGCACCCTCTGCTCCCACGGCCAAGGCCTGGGCTGTCTGCCTTGGGGGACAGACCCTCCCCCAGGACCCCCAGATGTGGGCCCCAACTCACCAGCCAGGAGGGCGAGGGCAGGGACCCAGAGCAGCAGCAGCAACAGGACAGGGGCCAGGGCCCAGGGGACCGGGAGCTGGGGGGCCGGGGACCCAGGCCTGGCCAGCGCCATGGCAGCCTGCTCTGCTCGGCCGCTATGGGAACGGGCGGGCGGCCTGGCTGGCTCCGCACCCCCCTCGTCCCTCCAACCAGCACTAATGCCATGGACAGAGGCCCGGCCCCTCCCTCCCCTCCCCGACACCTCCCTCCCCTCCCCACTGCTGCCGACTCCTCCTCCTCCTCCCGCCCAGGCCTCCTGGGCTGCTCCACCTCGTGGATGTCCCTAGACTTCAGCCCCAAGTCCCCAAGCCCCTCAGCCTGTGAGGTGGACCTGGTCTGGGCACCCCCCAGCCTCTCCCTCCTGACCCCCAGCCCCACTCTCCTCCCACACTCAGTCAGCCTCCTTGGAGAAATTTCTGTTCCGAGGGGCTGTTCAGGACTCTCTTCTCACCAGGTGACGCCAGCTACTCCCAAGTCCTTAGTCGTCTCCTCCCCTGGCTGCCCCCTCCCCACCTCTCCAGCCCAGCCTCTCTCCCCAGCAGGCCTTCAAGTCCAGTCACCTCCCAGACTCCATCTCTGCGGGGAAGCTGCAGCCCCTCCCATCCAGCATGTTCACCCACCTGCTGCTCCCCAGGGATTCCCCCAGAACCAACCGCCCCACTCCCTGTCCTCCAGCTAGCTCCTGTCCCTGCCACTTTCTCAGTGTTTCCAGCAATCCCCTCCCCTCCACCGTCCCACCCTGCCAAACACAGCTCTTCCCACCATCAACCTCAGGATCCTCCGACCTGGGCACCTCAGCCCTGCACCTCGTGGTCCCTGCCTCGCTCCACCCTCTCCAGCCCTCAGCAGCCAAACTGAACATTTCCCAGTTTTCTTCCACTTGACTTCGATCTCTGGCTCTGCTGCGTGCAACTCCAGAAACTTCACTGCACTGAACGGCAGCTCTAACCAAGCAAGCATTGCTGTCCCCTGCCAGGAAGTCCTTCTTGTTGTCTAACCTTAGAGTCTCCTGCTGCACTCGATGTTTGCTTGCTCTCCAGCCAGCCTCTTGTTGGAGTGGACTGGGGGAGTTCTTCAGAGGGACCTGGTTCAGGAATCCAGGTCATCTCAGAGACACTACCACATAAAATAACATTCCTTTCTTCTACTGCCCTCAGCTCGGGGTGGGGGGGTGGTGTGGGGCGGAGAACCCTCTTGCAGAAGGGACTTTCCTGAGATGAGCCAACAGCCTCTGCCAACGCATGTCTGTTTGTCCCTATTCAGTCACTGTGGAAACAGCCCACCCAGGTACTGGGCTCTGGGACATGTCCCTGACACGGGAGGGCACAGCCTAGAAAGACAGCAGGAGCCATTGAGGAGATCCGGGATGGGCAAGGTCTCCACAGTGCAGGGGAGGAAGCAGTGGGCATCACGAGGGTCCTGGCCCATCCCCTAGCCCGGGGTATGTGCTGCAGCCCTGGGTCCCCAGGGACCCCAGGAGGGAACTGAAGAAGCCCTGGGGAGACCCCTCATCCACTGCCCCTGCCCCATCCCCGCCCTCAAGGCCTATTCCCTCTGGGACCAGGGTTGCCCCTTGGTTTCTGGGACCCTAACCTCACCCAGTCCATCTTTAATCCCCTGCCGCTCCTATACAACAGGGCCCCTCCCCAGGTGGGAGAAGCCCCTCTCCACTCCACAGGAAAAGCAGAGGCCCCACAGCTAAAAAAAATCTGGGTTCAAGCCCAGCTCAGCCACTGATTAGTCGGTGACCTCAGCACGTGACTTCCTTCTCTGGGCCTCAGTCTCCTCACCTACAAAACAGTGAGGCTTTAGTGGGCTGAGGTGGCAGTCCCAGCTCTCTTTATCCAGCTTCTCAGTGATCCCTGAGAGACCCAGGCAATCCCAGCATGGGACTGGGGGCAGCACTGAAAGTGAACCGCAGCCCTCTGGGTCTCTAGATGCACAGACATGTCACTGGGTACAGGTCCACGCTCCTCAGCAGCCGGGCCCCCAGCACAGTCCTGCAGCCGCCATGCTCCACCTTGTGGCCAGATCTAGAAGTGTCCTGTGACGTCCTGGGGCATGCAAGGGGGACTGTGGTGGGTGCCTATAATCCCAGCTACTCAGGAGCCTGAGGCAGAACCCCTTGAACCCGGTAGGCAGCGGCTGCAGTGAGCCGAGATCACACCACTGCACTCCAGCCTGGGTGACAGAGCGAGACGTTGTCTCAAAAAATAAAAATAATTAATGCATAACAAAAGTAATTTAAAGTGATTTTTTTTTTTTTAAGATGGAGTCTCTCTCTGTCACCAGGCTGGAGTACAGTGCCACGATCTCAGCTCACTGCAACCTCCACCTCCCATGTTCAAGCGATTCTCCTGTCTCAGCCTCCCGAGTAGCTGGGACTACAGGCGCAAACCGCCATGCTTGGCTAATTTTTGTATTTTTAGTAGAGATGAGGTTTCACCATGTCGGCCAGAATGATCTCCTGACTTCGTGATACACCTGTCTCGGCCTCCCAGAGTGCTGGGACTACAGGTGTGAGCCACCACTCCAGGCTCATTATTTCAAATTGTAAATACTCCTGTTGACAACGCTATGCTAGCAGACACAATAAAACAATGAGAAGTGTGCACCTCTCAAGTCCCATGAGAAGATTTGCCATGAAGTATGTAGTTTTTCAAAATGGTGGCAAATCTGGGTAAGGCATCATCTTCCTACGATGTGCATGGAAGGTGTAGTTCTGGCAAATCCGGTCTTTGTAAAAAAAAAAAAAAAAAAAAACCCCATGCAAAGACGCTCTTTATTTCTATGCAAACCAGACGTGTGCTCTGAGCTTGGACAATTTCAAACAGGTGTTTTCCCTCTGCACGCGTGCCTGGCAGGAAATGCAAAAGTCAAGTGGCACATGAGCCAACCCTTCACTATGTGGAATGTCGCCAACATCACAGGACATCTGGCATCCCAGGCCCACCCACTAACTGCTATTAGTGTTCCCCCCGCGCCCATCATCATGATCACTGAAAGCACCTCCACAAATGCCCAGAACAATGCCCAGGAGGCCCCGGGCTCTACACCAACTGCAAGAAGGATTTCTTTCAAACCTCAAATGGTGTCTCTTAGCTGTTGAAGCCCAGTTGCACAACGGCCAAGTCAAAATTCCTGAGGCTCATGTCCAGAGCCCTTCATAACTCAACCCTCGGCACAAACACAGATCAGCATCCTCAGTCCCCAGCTCCTCTGCCCGCCTCTCTCTACCGCTCAGCATCTCTCCTTCTTCCCCTACTACAAACACACACACACACACACACACACACGCGCGCGCGCGCGCGCGCGGCCAGTGGCTGGGTTTTGCCAACAAGTCTTTGATCCCAGAGCCTGCTTCCAGGAATGCCTGCCCCACCCCCACCTGATTGAATGCTTCTTGACACCACGCTGATCCTTTAAGACTCCAGCCATGGCATCGCTTCCTCAGAGAGACTTCTCTGCTCCTCACCCCAACCCCAGGCATAGGCGCCCACAGACCCTTGGGCTTCCCTTCATGCCCCCAGCACTGATCCTGCCCTATTCTAGTCACCAGTGTAGACATCTGTACCCATTGCAAGGCAGGCATGCGGGAGGTGATTAGCACACAGAGGAGAATCACTCAGCCCTTACCCTTGGGGAGCTCATGTCTAGAGGAACAGACAGACTTGAGGACAAGGCAGGGAGGGGCTGGCTCAGAGCCCAGTGGGAGCCCCAAAAGAAGGCCAGCTGCAAAAGGGCACTTGCCCAGGGCAGGTAGCACCGTGGCGTAAGAACAGGAGTTTCCTGCCATGCGCAGCGCCTCAGGCCTGTAATCCCACACTTTGGGAGGCCAAGGTGGGTGGATCACAAGGTCAGGAGATCAAGACCATCCTGGCTAACACAGTGAAACCCCATCTCTACTAAAAATACAAAAATTAGCCTGGTGTAGTGGCAGGCACCTGTAGTCCCAGCTTCTCGTGGAGGCTGAGGCAGGAGAATCGCTTGAACCCAGGAGGAAGAGGTTGCAGTGAGCCGGGATCATGCCACTGCCCTCCAACCTGGGTGACAGCAGGACTCTGTCTCCAAAAAAAAAAAAAAAAAAAAGGAGTTTCCCAGTGGAGAAGAGGCAGAAAGCATACCTGGCTAAAAACCAAGCACAGGCCAAGGTCAGGTGTGAGGCCACTGTACCTTCAGGAAATGCAGACAGGTCATCATTACCCAGGGTCAGGATGCTGGCAGGTCAGCAGAGGACAGATGGCCCAGCCTTTGTAAGGCGCTAAGGATTTGGACTGTGTCCTCAGGGCACTGGGGAACGATAGAAGAGGTGAAAGCAGAGGAATGACATGGCCAGGTTTGAATGTGGCCGAGTTCCCTCTGTGAGAGCCGCACTGCAGAAGTGCATGTGTGGAAATCATCCAGGTAAAGGCCAGGAAGCCTGAATCAGGACTGGGTTGGCTGGAGTGATGGAGAGCAGGAGTGGGCATGTGAGCATTAGGAACAATAGAATTTGGTGTCCGCTGGGGTTGAAAAAGGAAACAGCCATAGTGTGCCCCCAGGATCTCTGCTTGGAGAATGCCCGGGAGTGAGGGTAGAGGGGTCTGGCAAGACGGCTTGGGGAGAGTGGCCAGGACAAACGCAGTCTTACCTGGCTGAAGACCAGGCTGCAGGGTCCTCTACAGACACTAGAGGGAGCTCCAGGATAAGCCCAGGCTCCCCTTTCCAACCAGCTGTTTCCACCCGCTCCGGAAGGGGATAGAACCCAGTGCACCATTCAGATGTAGGTCCTGGGAGTCCTGTTGGAGCCTGGCCCGAGTTCAGGGTCTTCACTGTCTCTGCGCCACCTCGTCCTTCAGCCACCGAATTGGCAGTGGCGAGGAGCCCTTTGGAGGTGGGAGCAGGTGGAGGCAGAAGTTAGGGACTGCAGACAAGAAGTACAGACAGCCTGTGCCCTTCTAACCCTGCCTCTACCGAGAAGGGGAGTGACTCACCCAAGGTCGCAGGGATCAGAGCACCCCAGGTGGGACGGAATGGACTCGAGCTGGAAGAGCACAAGCAGCGCTTCCAAACCCCTTCCCGCGCCTCCCTACAAAAACCAAGGTGAGGGGGGTTTCCCATGAGCCACCCCCCACATAATCCTGGGACACCTTCCCCT